CCCCAAAACCCCAAAACCCCTATTACTGACTCTCATTTAAAATTTAAAACAAGAGTTTTCTTATTTAATATTTAAAACTTTTCATCGATGATATATTTGAAGTGAATTTAAATATATGCTTACTTTAAAAAATGAATTATGCTGTTTTAACTCTATTTTTCACAATTTCCGTAGTCTTAGCTGAGCAAAAGCTTGGATTTGTTTTTGAAATAGTAAGACACGGTGCTCGTGCTCCTCTTTTAGAAGAACCTAAGGGCTTTTTCAAAGTTGATGCTGGTATGCTTACTGCCTAAGGTATGAGATAGAGATATTTACTAGGGAGATTTAACAGGGAGAGATATATAGAACAATATGGCTTGATTGCTAAAGAATACAACCCAAGTTAAATATAAATATCTTCAACAAACTATCTTAGAACTATTTAAAGTTCTTATTCAGAGATGATGGGCTTATATCCACCTAACTCTAATATCTAAAATAATCTTTCTAAAGGAGAGATTTAATCTCTAAAATCTGGAAAAGGTTTACCAAAATTAAGCAGATTAATCAAAAAAGGGAAAATTGAATAAGTTTCCTAAATATTTGACAGATATACATTTATTCCTGTCTATAACAGCTATAATTTACCTATAAATGATGATGTATCTGAATATACTTGTCCTTATACAAGAGACTGTTTTAACTATTACTATACCACTCCTTCTGAATACACCTAGGAAAGCTAGATTGTAATTCCATTAATGAGAAAACATTTAGGCTAGACTTTCAACCTAACTGCTAATGAAATTAAAAACATAGATTACTTAAAATTCTATTAATATGCTGACTTCATTTATTCTGTGACTTTTGAGGGTCATCTCAACATTTTCAATTTTTCAGCAATAGAATGGTTCTATCTGAAATAATCACAAAAAATAGTAATTTCTAAAGGCTTGAATAAAAAAGCCAAGAGGTTATATGGCACAAAATTCTTCAGAAAGCCACTAGAAGCAATGGCTAACAGGTTCAATGATTTGATAAATGGTATTGATGACCCAAATTAGCTCAGATATATGATTTATTCTGGCCATGATGACCAAATTATCAACATAATTGATTGGCTCAATCCTCAAGATCATTATTATGTTGAGACCCCTTATGCATCAACCATCATCTTTGAATTATTCTATGATACTGAGTGTTTGAGAGCGAGTCCAAAGAGTCCCTCTTGCTTTTAGATACAAATAAGACATAATGGAAATCCAATAAAATTTGATAGATGTGTCACCAATAATATGAAAGCTGGATCCAGATAAATCCATTGTAAATATGATGACTTCTTAGCATATATGAATTCTAAGATGATAAAAGATGATGTAAATACCTAATGCATGGAAAAGTTTATCCCAAAATAATTGCTTTTAAAAAAACATAAATTTTAATGATTTAATAAATGAAATAGTTCAATATGCTTGATTCTTGATATCATGGGGTTTTGGGGTTTTGGGGAGATCGGAA